AACCAAAAATACGTAGTAACTCTGTTTCATGCCTTTAACTATTATCATAAATAGACAATATATAAGGAAGTCTAGTAATATGAAAATCGTGTTATATAATTTTTGATAAGGATGCCATTAAGTAAAATTAAATTTATAATCTGCAAATAGTCTGAATTCCTATATTTCGGTGATAATTTCTGACCTTGCGTATGGAGTAGAATACCCATAAATGGTTAAGCTATTTCTTTTTAATTTTAACTCTTCTTCTTCTTCTTCTTCTTCTTCTTCTTCTTCTTCTTCTTCTTCTCCTCCTCCTCCTCCTCCTCCGTCTGTTTCTTTTATTATTATTATTTGTGTATCCGTAGCTTTCTTTTTCATTTTTTTCCTTATTTATCCCACTCCTTCTTACTCTTCCTCCTCCTCCTCTTGTTCGTCGTCTTCTTCTTTGCTTCCTTAACTTACTATCATTTTCTTTCTCTATTTCCTTTCTCTTCCTTCCCTTATCTCCTTCTCATCATCATCCTCCGTCGTCTTCTTCTTTCCTTTCTTATCTTTCTATCATTTTCATCCTCCATTTCCTTTCTTTCTCCTCCTTCCCTATCTTTTCCTCCTCCACCTTCTTCTTCTTCTTCTTTGTATAGATTCACTTCAGGATTTGGGCAATCATGGTTCTCTGCAATTTCCTCTCTTTTATTTTCTTTTTTCGCTATCTTTCCTAATCGCTTTTCTGCCAGCCATTTACATAACCTTGTTAGGTAGGTCATGCGCTGTTATCCTCTCCCCATCTTTTATATGTCCCGTAAGTATCAAATTTTCCAAGCCCTCTTTTCTCACTATATGTCCTAGATATGTCAACTGTCTCTTTCTGCTGTTAAATATAAGTGTTTTTTCTCTAAATCTTCGCCATTGCTCATATGTTCAGTCTATGTTATTCTCACCATCCTTCTGTAGAACTACATATCTTGAGCCTCCAGCTTCTTTATCACGGACAAATTTGCCCTGCATTCACTGATATACGAGGTCCGACATTGCATAAAAGTTCACCCCTATTTTCCTTGTTTCTAATTAGATTTTCCTGTTTCTCAATACTTTGCTTAGTTTTTGGAAGGCTTCTTGCGCTATGAGATTGCGATTCGGATTTCGGTGTCCCTTTGTTAAAATACTTCGTAGATTTCTGAGAGGTATTGTAATTATTTACATTACCATTCGCCCTTGCATGAAGTATTGCTGCCATATATGGTCTGGGGCACCTTCTGTTTACCTCGGAGTTCTTGACAAGATCCAGAGACGGATATGTAATCTAATTGGCCCTGATCTTGCGTCTCGTCTACAGTCACTCTCTCACAGATGCGCCGTCGCCTCTCTCTGTCTTTTCTACAAATACTTTCATGGTAATTGCTCTGATGAGCTGCTTTCACTGGTTCCCAGACCCCATGAATTCAAGCGCCCTACGAGGCTGGCATACCGCTCCCACCCTTACACTGTAGAAACTTTTAAATGTAGCCGTCTCTTCTACTCCAATAGCTTTATACCTCACACCTCATGCCTGTGGAACACACTTCCCAATTACTGTTTCCCTGAGAGCTATAATCTCCAACTATTCAAATGTAATGTCAATCGACATCTCCAGTTACCTTGATCTATCCACTATCCCTCTCATCATCCTTTCTTCTATCACTCCTATCTGCTCTTGCTCCAAATCTTCTGCAACCTCCTGCATCCTAGTGGCTTCACGCCTTGCTCGGGGCATAATGCTTTAAAAAAATATATATTGTTCGGACTGTTGTCCTCATCTTTATTGTCCTGTCCACGATGTTCCGGTCTTCTACAGGTGACTGAAATTTCGAACTGAGCCTTTTATTTCGTCTACCGAGCTAGATCGTTATAATTCCACGTGCCATGCCAGCTTTCGGATGTCTCAGTTATTTCTCCTTAACTCAGCTCTCCAATTATTTGTTACCCACTGCAATATCCAGGCACTTAACTCAAAACTATTTACGTAAAATCACGGGATACAACATTTTTATCCACTGGGCCATGTTTTCTTGACAGTAAAGATGAGGACAACTGTCTGAAAACTGTAAATAAAGTAAATAATTATTTCGTTAATATTCAGTTTTTTGTACTTTTTATTTTTGTTACTAATTTTCAACTAATACAAGTCTCGTGAGCCACTCAAGGTAGAGGGTTACTGCGTGGAGTTGTAAGAGCATAAGGAAGTGCAAGATGTGAAGTTTCTGGGGGCTATATAAAATCTATATGAAAGAGGTCAAGTAATAATTAGTGAATAAAATATAAGAGTTCAGGCACAGGCTTTAGAAGTGTGGAGCTGAATCCGACATTAGAATGATCGGGAAACCCAATCCTAAACAGCAGACAAGGAACAATCCTCTAATACTGTTCAAAAGCCCGGCGTGGAGTATGAATTAGATGACAGGCGAACGTATCTACACCTGGGGAGGGCGTATTAAAATAAATAGTGAAGAATTTCAGTGTTCAGGCAGAAACTTCAGAAATATAGAACCAGAAATCCAATCCAATCCAGGGAACAAAGGATAAACCTCTACTCCAGTTCAAAAGACCAGACAGGAGTGTGAATGGGACGGTAGACAAGCCTATCTACTCCTATTAGTAAGCCTATCTATTACTAATCTTGCTTTTGGAATCTCCTATTTC